TAACTTATTATCACCCACATCATGTGTGACAAAGTTCATATCTTTAGCATGAATATTTCAAGAGATATTTCCATTTAAACTTATAATTATTTTACATAAATAAACACAACATTAGGAGAAGCTTACAAGTGGCAGGATTTTTTCTTGTCTGTAATATTGAAGCCTTCAATTATCCATCCATGGTCACTTTTCAGGAAAACATGTATAAAGTCTTGGTGTAATTTTTTTAACTGAATATAAGAAACATTAGTTGTAACCTTATATTGTTCACTGTTGGGTAATGTAAACACTTAATGAAAAGTAACCTTCTCCATTTTAACCTTACGACTTTATTTCTGTCTCTGTCATTGGATTTCCTTTTATGTTTGTATTGTTCAAATTATATTTACATTCATATGTTTTAGCACTGACTATTTCTGATGACACCTGCGTTGACTTTGATTGACTCTGTTTTATGGCCTATGATCATGCTGTTTAACGCTGTATTATACTGCAGTGCATTTGGATTGGCATTTGCTCCACGGTTTGTTGGTTTAAGGTATTTATACTATGTCTAAATTTACTAGCGCAGGAGTGATTAATATTGTTTTTGATGTTATTGATTTGTGCACCATCTATGTTACATTAAAGACAAACACTCTTAATCTGTCTACAGCTTCCCAAATTATTGAATAAAGTTGAAGGTCTTGATCACCATCATACACAGATACGGCAAAGTGGGAGCGAAACCCTGTCACTTCAAACAACACAAATTGTAATACTTGACTTTCTAGTTATTGTTCTTTTGTTGCATTTCGCAACACGTGGCAGACATAGCCCTTCAGGCCTACATTATTGAGCCCCGCAAACTCAATCCACCATCCTTACATATCTGTGTCACTTTGTATGGCCAGTTCATCCAACATTTTCCCGTCAGTTTATGCATCTAGTTGTAGCATTTTCGCCTGCCTCTTCTGACGTCCGTTGAAAGAAAACTTAGCCAAAGCCTGAATTTTGTTTCACTTTTTTGTATTGAAGGAGAATTGTCTTAGAGGGTAATATAATATTTCTTGGTTGTCTGAATTCTTGATATAATTGCGGCTTCCTGTAATATCACCTCAAACACACATTAACCACTTCTTGTGACAACCTTCTATCGCATAGTTTTTTTAATGATTTAAGAACTCAATGTTGCGTAAGTTCGACCATATCAATGTTTGCCATAGGTATAAATTTTAAGATATTTTCAACTGATAGTGATGAACATTTTGTCTCATTTTTGGGTGCAAAAACTTCAGTTCTTGTTTTGATTTCTTCAACAATGTGTTCTTTTTTGCCCAATTCCTAGTGCCATATTCCTGCATTTCATGTACATCCGTGAGGTGTCGATAAGGGAGGTAACTTTCTTTCATATAATGGACCACAGTATTCCACTATTTCCCCCTGCAATTTTCAGGGTCTCGATTACATAGTGTCTGCTGCATAGTATGTTACATTTTGTGTGACCTTTACACCTTCACACATTGGTATGCACTTAACTGACTGTATCAATGATGTTCTCCTTGTCAAATGTGAACTTCTGACAAAAAAATACACTCTAATGATAAAAAGGTAATATATATATATATATATCTTGGTTGTAACTAACCTTTTGAAGTTTATAACAGGGACACCGAAATGAAAAAAAAAACTTTTAAGAAATAAAATTTATACACTTTTGGGTGACAATGTGCCTTAAACATTAAACAATCTAATAGGCGTCCTTACACAATACGGTACATGTATCATTAGATAACATTAAATTTTGTAAACATGACATATTTATGGGAGATTTCTTCATATCATTTTCTATTATCTATTTTATCTGAATTCCTTCTATCAAGTCAAAAGATAAAAAAGAAGGTTAATAAAGGGGACTTAACTTTTTAATCCACGATACCATATTTTTTGCATTCCTAATTCAACTATATTTGGATTGCATTTTGCGAACGGCGTATTTCCTGTTTATAGTCATTATATTAATAATTTAAGTGCATCTGTGATTTGGTGATCATAAGTAAAAGCTTTACGTTATATAACTGCATGGGTTTCAGATTTGAGCTATAAAACAAACATCATTTATAATTAAATCCGTTAAAATTAATGTTGCCCCTAGAAATTGGCTATAATATATTTTTTTAGATTTGAGGGAAAGGAAGATCCAGTGGGAGGAAAGATACACCTTCGTGTTTTGCCATTGGTTCTGCGCTGCTTAATAATGTCATAGATGCATTCTGTGAACTTCACATTGTCTTTATTATCTTGAGCAACATTTGTTTGTGAATTGCAAATTGCATGGGCTTCGTCAGCTGTTTTTAATTTTTCAAAACCTTTAACTGGTTTTCTCAAAGAAAGAAAATGTGGTTAAAATGATAAGGTATTGAAAACGGGATGAAATGATGTAGTCAATAAAAACAAAAGATAAAATGATGTAGTCAACAAATGCGGGATTTTAGAAAAGAAATATAGCTATTTTTATTACCCGTATTTTAATGGAATTATATTGTAAAACAATCAATCTCTATGTACACGATTTGGCCCCTTGTTTCTTCGAACCTGTGTTGTATTGTGCACTTTAAGATTAATAAGTTATACATATTTTATATAATTTAAATGAATGACAACACAGTTTTGAGCATATACATGTATTTACTTTATAATAAGAACATTAAACATGACATAATTTAGCAATATAGATTCAAAATGCATTGGGAGGTTAAAATATGTTAAAAATAATTAATTACAGTTTTATATATAACTCCAAGTGCGTGCATATATATCAATTATGATGAAAATGTATATTTATGATGTTGACATTTTTATGTGGATACTTGTCATTATATATACTGGTCTGAAAACCCAGTTTGGATTTAACCAAAGACGTTGTACACTTATGTAATAATAAAATGTAAAAATCAGTTGTGCCTTTTCTTTTACTATACGACACGTGAATGAGAACTTATCTTCCGTTTGTTAATATTTTATAGTATGTAGTGCCTTAAAATAGTGACTGACTGACTGACTGACTTACTACCCTAATGACTGACTGACCGACGGAATCAACAAAGTATATAAATAATTAACTGAATTTTTCAAATGTTTGACGAAACAGAAATGAAATTAACACACAAAATCATTATAAAGCAAGCTTTGAAGTCTCTTAAAAGAAAAAAAGAGAATAATGTATATTGGGTATGTATATTGGATAAGGAAACATTACTGATGTTTTAAACCTGTTTAGTCTAGTGCATGATACTTTAATTTTGCCTATAAAGCTTACAATAGAATTTAAAGAAAAAGTTGAAAATGTATAGATGGTAAAAGAAAAGTGTTCTACATCAAAAAATGCAAAACACATGGATCGTTTCTATACATCTTACGACATAAACTAAACAATTTACCATTTAGATATTAATATTCAAAGCGCACATTCTGTATCTGAAATGACACGCGCCATATACTTTATGCAATTGTAATATTGGTTGTCATTAAAAAAAAACCCTGAACTAATGAAATAAGTGCTGCATCAAGCTTGAAAAATTATACCTTATTTGGCCATTTACATTTTCTGCTTTTGTAGATCCTAGGGTCTGTGATCTGTGACGCAAACTCACCACTAAACGACAAATGCTCATGAAAAAGCTAATTTCAACCGAACCTGCACAATTTTAAATTTTGCCATTTTATAGGGATCCTTTTCCTTTTTTAAAAAATAAAAAAACAAGTATTTTCCTTTGTTCCTTTTTGTATTTAAGCTATATGCCAAAACAATGGGACATCAGTCAGTGAATCCAAGTTAAAGTAACGATTTTAAACCATGGAGTGCGCAAAACGCTAGAAAACCCGTTGTTGTTTAGTTCCTTATCATTTTAAGGTATTGCTTATTGGTAAGTCATCGTACTACATCTCAAAATGTATTTCTATGTGTGGTGTTTAACTTTTCTGATTTTGTAAAACACTATTATATCTCTTTACCCCTTTTTGTTTATTTTTTTTCCTTTTCTTTTAATACTTTAGCATTGATTGGAGATCTATGAAATCTTCAATATTAAAAGATATAAAAATTTCACATAGGACAAGAAACAGGTGGTGTATAAAAAAACTTATTTGCCTAGTTATATCGTAATCTGGACATCAATATGATAATATTATAGGTTTATCTTTCAAATTGTCTAGTTAGATAAAGATTCAATTTTGTGCTCTTAATTGACGACAGAAACTTTGATAAACAACAAGTCTCAACTTTCTTTTTTAGATTCATACACGGCTTTAAGAAACTTTATGAATGGAAGTCGTAAGTATAAATTTCTTTTCTCGTGTTGGATGATATTCTCATGTATAAAAATTGCAAGAAGCCTATTTGGAAGTTTAATTCTTTTGTACTATTTTATGGCGATATTAAGCAGTAGTGTGAGATTTATAAACAATTTAATAGGCGTTATTTTTCAAATTTAATAATACAAAAATGCTGTTATTCCTACAATTATACGTGATTCAGCAAATGAATTAAATATATTTAAAGCTCAAATATTATGCAATTTTCTAAATTGTGTCTATGTCCATGTACATTTGATTTGTCAGTTTACTTGTGATAAAATTGATAGGAAGGTCATGGGAAAGTCACATAAATCTTATACTGGGCAATATTACTTTATTTTAATGGGCAGGACACTTACCTGGGCGTTATAGACTTTCATGACTCGGTCGCAATTTTCAGTTTGCAACCATTTCTACCGCTTGAACCAAGTGTGTAACCACTTCATGTCCTGCCGCTTGTATATATGCAATCCTGTGTACTTGTATTTTGATTGTCTTTTGTACAGAGAATTAAGAAAATATACATTCTTCATTTAGAAAATACTCCGCCCGTGGAAAATAATTAAAAGTGACTTCAATCATCCGATCCACAAATATTCTTAATTGCTTATGAAGTCCTGCCTGCTTCAATTTCTCAAGTATACACACATTTCTTATATTGTCAGAGTATTATTCAAAAACCGGATCTGGTTGTTGCCATAGATTTTGGCAGTACATATAGCGGATATGCTTGGCAATGGAGGACAGATTTTCTAAGGAATAAAGGAAACATCGAGTTCAATACTAACTGGGGAAGCGGGGCATTACAGGTATTTTTCTTTTTTCTTATAGCTTAATGTCACTAGTATATTACAACTTGTCTCCAAATGTCAATTAACTCAGTGATTTACTAAAGTACATTTTATTTCAAATATTCAGGTTATTTTCAAATCCGGTGTATAAATCGTTTTGTCCTCTATAGACAGAGTATCATACTGTAAAATATTTGTATTACAGTGACATAATGTCCATTTTCTATCGTGTAGTGAAAGTTAGTAAAGTAGTTGTTGAACCACAAATTTCACATATACAAATTCATCTCATGTGTGAAAAATGTGTACGAATTCCTAATACACTCGTTTGTGTTACAAATACGGTCGGGGGATCCTGGGATCTGGGACGCCCGACATCCGGGATCGTATTAGATATAAACTATAGTTGTGTTGATATTTGTCGTAATAAAGGCAATAAAACGTTAAGTTGTTTTTGACAGGTATATTGATTTTAACTTAAGATTGAAATATACTAAGAGCTATATAAAAAACATAATTGAAATGCAGAAATCACAAGAAATCTTCAAGTTGTTTCAAATTGTAATAATTCACATTGATTTGTTGGAAATACTAAAAATATATTTTATTCAAAAACATATTTTGTGATAATGTACAAATACCTCGTCTTTTATATTAATGTTTTAGAATTTACGTACAGATACAAGTAGATACTTTAACAAAAATATTGTAAATCAAAAATATATCGAAACTGTCAAACATCAAACAATAAAAGAAACTCCGTCAGAAAAAAATGTACAAGTTAATAATCATAATAATTTCCATTTTTCACTCGTATACATTTGTAACGTAAGACATTCCCCTCTGGATAGATCACTAGTGTTATGGTGGCGTTCGTTGCCAATATTCTAGTCTGATACCTTTAAAAATGCGGGCATGTATACCTGACAGTTTTGACTGTATCTGTGCACTGCAAATGTCTCTTAATCCAATCTTAATATTGAAGGTTCTCGGTTTACATATAGATCTAATCATCTGAACTAACATAAAAAAACCTAATTTACAAGTTCGTAGCATCCATTGCATATAATACATAAGCAAGTTTGCACACTTATAGATAGTTAGCTGTATCTTTTTCCTTTCATTTGATTAGTATGATTGTACTATAGATTAGAACTTCATTACTACTTGTACATAAACAAAACTGTATTTGACTTAACAAAATCCAAATTAAACTAAAACAATTAATGTGAAAATGTTATGTTACGTGGTACTTTTCAAATTTAAAGTGACTAAATTAAATACCCATGCTTTTTAATCGTATCAAGCAAAATATGAAATAGAATAATGATTAAAGTAGTTTTGGACTTTTTATATAATTTACTCTCATTAACATAAGTCATAAAGACGTTTGTGAGCCATGATTGTATAAGTTTCATGATAAAATAATTAAAATCTAATGTAATCAATAATTAAAGTTGTTAACTAAATATCCCGTTTTCATACCATAAATTTTTAAAGGGATTTTAAAGAGAAAATATTCGTACATTTTACAAATATTAAGGCAAAACCTAACTATTGTCTGCCAATGCTTAACTGCAGTATAAGTAGCTACTAAGCGCACATGTTGCCTGTGGCTAAAGGCATGTTTCAGTTTACAGCCTATACACATTGTACAATGAACAATTTACAAGGCGATCTCCTATTTTTAAAAGTCGTTAGACAGGCCTAAATTACCGATTGTGATGTAAGTTTTTGGGTCGTTAAACAAATCACAGAACAGAACAGAACTTTTATTTCTTTGATTTGTACATAGTACATTATCATATACATCATATAATTTCAGTGTAACAAATACATTTCAGTGCGAGCAATCAATGTAATAATATAATAGACAAAATTGATGCTTATATTCAAACATATTATGTTGTTAAGCCTCAGTTTAACGAGGATGAACATATCAACAAGTATTATATAAATAACACATGGGCTTGTGGGTAACAGTAAAAATATCATCCTGAGGAAAATACTGTTACCCGAGGCGTTTTAAGTGTACTTTAGGCCTACTTGAGAAGTTTTCTTTTTCTTTTGATTCTTTATGCGAGTGATGATATCTACAAATCATAAACATACAATAAGCTAGGTTTTGTTTAGAAAACAAAACACTCACCCTTTTACACGGTTATGATCTGTGAAATTTGATCCTTCTGTTTTCAGAATATTCTTAGCATGGTTTTTGACAAAATAACGATGATATCCTATGTCTGTCAACCATCTCTGTAGCGTTTCACTGATTAAAATTGTTAAATAATCCTTTGTTGCATGCTTAAATCGTCTGCATGTTCCAGTTTGACAATTAATTATTTACGTTGCAAGTACTTTTTCAATTCTTTTTCCAATTTTAGCTTCATAAAACTACAACCTGTTTACTTCTTAAAGCAAATGGAGATGATGAAAGTGAATACGAAATTGATTCTTTTGGATATAAGGCTGAAAGAATATATATAAACATGTCCAAAGAGCACGAAAAAGAGAAAAAGAAAAACTTAGACAGAGGCGATGAAGACAATTCACTTGAAAATTTTTATCTGTTTAAAAGATTCAAACATCTTTTGTATACAAAGGTAAGTATGAACAATTGAAAGTAAAATTTTATCTATCAATTTTTTTAAGCTGTTTAAATTAACTTAAGTTCTTAACCGATGTCCTCATTTTGCGATAGAGAGACTTTTAAACTTATAAAAAATGAAATGATATTAATTATTAGAAAAACAATTCTTATGTATCTCAGTATTTAACAAATTTAACAGCGTCAAGAAATTTGACATCGTTGTGTGAAAAAATGACCATTTGGTAATTCATGTTAAGTACAGAAACATGTATGTTACCATTATGATAACAATTGTAGTATACAGATTATTATATATTAAATACAATAACACCAAATATGGACATTTTTATAATCAAAAATCAAGCTTGATTTATTTGGTGTCTGCATATAATAAGTTTAAATCTTTCAAACACTTCCTGGAATTAATATGAGTGTACATTATACATACAGGGAGGTTATTTCGCTGTATTCCCCCAAGTCGATGGCTTTCTATTACAAAAGGCAATTTTAAAGTAGAGACTGCATGTACGGAAAAAAGTTGTTGGTTTTTTATAATGAACTTTTCTCTCTCTAAAAGTAACATGATAAAATTAAAATTCTAATAACATTTAAATTCTAAACTAATCTGAACAAAGTATGTAATAAATATGAGTGACTTTTCTAAAAATAAAATAAAATCGTATTTTCAAGGAAATTGATGACAAAATGAAAGTAGAGGATCAACTTGATAGACATTTCCCACTATTTCACGTTTTGTCAAAATTCCTTAAAGCGTTGAAGGACCACTTCATAAACAATCTAAAAGAAAAAGGACAAAGAGTCAACTTAGACAAAACACTTTGGGTAGTTACTGTTCCCGCGATTTGGTCAGAGAAGGCAAAGGCGTTTATGAGAAAAGCGATGGAAAAGGCATTAATGGAAGAAACAGAGGGAATAGAAAAGGTATTTATCTTTAAGCTGTCACCTAAGTTGAAGGGCTGTGAAACTACTGTGTATGACAAAACATATACGAGCGCATAAAAATTCAATAAATGAAAGGAAAAAAATATATATCTATCTAAAGAGCAGATATTGTAAATAGGGATAGTGACCCCCAAAATGTTTTTCATCAATAAGAGTATCTTTTGAACCGATTGAAAGAAATTGAAACTCATCAGAAATGTTAATCGGGAGACAATGTGCAGAACGCAGGTTTGACCTTCATCATAGTTAATATTGTGCTTAAAAGGAGAACACATTAAAGTCTTAGTTTGGGGGAACGACCATGCCTATAGTTTGGAACTTTGACAGTAGCATTGCCTTGTTGATCTGTACAAAAAACTGGTATTAGTCATGCTCTTTTGGTCAATATTTGCCCGTCCCTGGGTTCAATTAGTTAATATATGAGAAAACACATTTCAGTCTTATTTTGTGAATCTACAATGAATAAAGCTAAGATATTTAACATGCAGCATTCACTTTTTAGTGTTATTGTGTGGTATTGTTAAGATTAGATCTTAGATATTTGGCAATAATACTTTATTGATCTTTATATCAGCCAAGCTTTGTCGTATAGCCTTTGGGTCACAATTGACTCCGCCATATAAAAACACCTGCGTATGTTTCAAAATTCAAAAAGAAATCTTCATTTGCATGTTTAATGTTGAATTTAGCCAAGACCGGTGATTGAAGGCGTTGACGGTAGATTGCAAAGCTTGTTTTTTTTCTTCAATTTTCCGGTTTTGGTATTCTGTAAGGAATTACATTTCCTTCTATTCCATAGCAAGAAATGACTCTCATTTAAAATAAGTGATTTATATAGAAGCCATCAACTTCCAAAGCAAACAGCGACTTTTGTGAGCAATATGTGATTTCCAAAGTAACTTTTGTACTTAACAACTAGTGACTTTCACGATATAAAATTATTTTCCATAGCAACAAGTGACTTTTTACATGTACAATCTTTCAGGTGCAGATATGAAATTTATTATCAGTTGACCTTGAATCCGCTTTAATATCAGCTTTTTATTAATAGTTAGCAACGTTTTGATTTATGCAATTAAGAGCTTTTTTAGTAAGATGAGCGATATAAAGGTATCATTTACCTTTTTTGATTAAGTGCATTTGCGGTAGTGACTTAATTTTCTTAACTTCTGATGTATAGAAGGTTTGGACGCTAGGTTTCAATTACCACTACCATCCACGGACAGGCTCAATATAACCGAAATATTTGCCGTGTTGGCGTTCTAAAATTATGGTTTATTTGTTTTCTTTATATCATTGTCACACCAGTGTTGGTTAAACCGTGTGGAGGTCATAAAAAGTTACGCCATACACTCAATGTAAGATTTAATATATTTAATTAATTTATTACTAACAAGCTTCTTAAACATGGCTATCGCTATCATAAATTGCGTAAATATTTTACTAAAAATCTGGAAACAAAGTAAAACAAAGTTGTACAATCGTAATTCAGATTTAGTTTTAAAATTTAATTGCAATTAGCAAACCTGATTTCTATGGATATGTGGTTTACAAACTTCGTAGAATCATGGGTCATATTAATTTTTCTGCCGTCTTCACTAAAATTATCAAACGGTCTTTTAAAAGAGGTTATGATCAAATTATTTTAAGGCATACACCCAAGCGTTTAACCCTTTTACAGTTGGACGCTACGCTTTCCTCTTTTAATTACATCTGACGGACTAAGTGGGAGACTCTATGATGGCCAGTTCTAAATTCCCTATGGGACTGAATTGTCTTAAAGTACATTTTTGTATGTCTTCTGTCTTGCTTTGACGGGCCATTGTAGGTAATTTTCTTGTTGTTCTGCCTTCCTTTAAGGCATCGAGTACTTTGGTAATGGTCATTAGGCAGTACCTTTGTCTTAATATTTACACAATCTATGTGTTTTATTTATTTTGTCTAACATATCAGCAACAAAACAAAGTTTGTTGTGATAAATGTTAAATGTTTCTTAAAAAAGATAAAAACAGAATCCCTAAAGAACGCCCAAAAACGACAAGAATATATATTTTACAGGCTCTGTTTGATAAAGCCTGTTCATGGACGGTACTGGAAAGTTCAAAGTACCGTCCTCGCTCCCTAGCACAAACTGAAGTAGAATTCATCATTTAAAACAAAAATGGTGAAAATTTGAATTTGAAAACATCCACAGATGTGTTCATACGACAAACGTCACGGACCTTCAATGCGACATGTTCGTGCCATTCAATGAAAATCGGCGTATTGCCCCTAGATAAAGAAATGCGTGCGCCCTAAGGATTAAACAATTGTATGGAATTTTGAAAAGGGATCAGAGGTTATTAAGCCTTAATATAACAGACAAGACGTCAAAAGACAAGTTTAAAAAAGCAGGAAACATATATTTAAGGTGCAAAGAAAATTATTAAATTCAAATTTCAGAGCTTAACTAAAAAGAAGAGGAAAAATTTACTTCTTGCTCTTGAGCCAGAAGCAGCAGCTATATATTGCATCCACCTTCCCTGTGAGCAAAGAGCCAATATGAATGACTTTGGAGCACCGGGACAAGTCTTCCTTACAGCAGATCTTGGAGGTGGGTTTCATTTATGTATTAGCGAAATACACTTGTCAGTCAAAGTTATAGCATTTTTTGTTTAGCCTTATTACTATTATGTGTCATCTTCTTTTTCATCGTCGACCATTTTTCCTATTTATTTCTTTCACTGTATAGAACGTAAGCTATGCAGTTTCTAACAAATTCTACTTTATAAAGCTCGTATTCTTATAATTTAACAGTAAGCAATATACAAATGTATTAGCTTTCGGCGATAATTGTTGCATATCAAAGACATAAAACTGAAAAAAAAATCATAATAAATTTTTTATATATTAACTTATTTATCCATTTATTCTAAGGACTGACTGCTGACCTTTCCGCAGTGAAAGTATTAGACGAAGGTTTGCTTGAGGAGGTTTGTTTATCTACAGGACAGCTGACTGGTGGTCAAAATGTGAATGACGCATTCTTTCAAGCTTGCCATAACAATTTCGATGGGGATTCGTGGAACAAAACATTTGGTAAATCGACGCCAACAGAGTGTTTAGAAATGGAAGATGACTTTGAACAAAAGAAGGTTACAATAGGGAAAGAGGACCAAAGGCTTGAAAAAATCGTTCTTAAAGTTCCTTACACGATCATGAAAGAAATAGACAAGAACAATATAACATTAAAGGAGACAAACGATTTTTACCTAGAGGAAAACGAAATGAAGTTCACGTCAGAACTTGTCCGAAACAAACTTTTCAAAGAAACTTGCGCCAAAATGTACGATGTAATGAAAGAGGACTTGGAATCGAAAAAATTAAAAGATTGCAGAACAGTTGTACTTGTTGGTGGATTTGCTGAATCACCAATTGTAGTACAACATATACGCGAAGCGATTAAGAAAAACTTTCCAAATATGAAAGTTGTTGTGCCAACCTCCCCTTTCCAAGCTGTTCTAAAAGGGGCCGTTCTATATGGTCATGATCCGATGATATTTAGAAGCCGAATTGCAAGGTATACTTACGGTGTTGGGATAAACCATGTCTTCGACGAGAAAAGGCACGATAAAGAGAAAAAGTGGCTTAACACTGAAGATAATAAATATTATTGCAAGGATGTGCTAGCTGTTCATGTGGCAAAAGGTCAGTCTGTGATACTAAAAGAGCAGCTTGAGGAACATAGATACCGTCCAACGTATAAGAATCAGAAAAGTGTGAATATTTCCATTTATGCTTCAGATAGAGCCCCAATGAATAGTACAGTGGATGGTGAACCTAAAGATGTCATTTATATTACAGATGAAGGATGTGAGAAAATCGGTGAAATAGATGTTGAGATACCCGATACTTTACTTGGAACGGAAAGAAATCTTCTTGTCAGAATGGTGTATGGTGGGACAGAATTATCGGTTATCGTGATAGATGAAACAAGCGGCAAAGATTTCCCATTGAGCATAAAACTGATCTAAACAGATGCAAACACATGATTTGTGAAAGAGTAAAGTTTGATTGAATATCAAAGCAAATGTTTAATTCTTGTAAAAAAAGAAATTGACAGCAAATATTGTTTTCAATTGTTGTAATCGATTCCCGAAAGGGTTGTAATATGTCTCAGCTATTTTAAACATTTGAATATGGTACATAAATAGAATAAAATGATACTGAACAAAATATCATGCTGCTATTTAAGAGGGGTTTTATCCCTCCAGCAATGAATTTGTGTATGCACTTTCTGTTCTTAAGGAAAAACACTAACATATTTCATTTTATACAGACACTCAGAAGTATTTTTTATAAAAATTCAATCAATTATTGTTTAACCAGATACAAAGTTTTTTACTCTTAAAAACAAAATAAGTTTGGAAGGTAAGCCTCCTAACAAAATAGTGAAAAAAAGAATCCCTAAAGAAAGCCCAAGACGGCAAAATTGTAAAATGTTGCAGGCTCGGTTTGATTGAGCCTGTTCATGGACGGTACTGGAAAGTGCAAGTTACCGTCCACGACCCCTAGCACCGGCTTAAACAGAATTCAACATGCTGGGACTTTAAAAACTTCATTTTAACGTGATTTGAGTAAGTTTGATAAATTTGATATTTTGTCAATCATATGGCTTAGTATTCGTACACTATATTTGTGAAAAGAGAATACATGTATTATTTTGTTCATATATGAAATTATTCATTGATTGAAATTATTGATATTTTTGCCTCTTTTAAAATGAATTTATACATCAATGAGATATATTTATAACATTATTACCCAACAAATTTGCAATATTTTGTTTATGTATTTTTTATCTAACTTTACTCGGCACTTTTGTTCTGCAAATCGACTTTGGTATTATCAACAACACGTACGGGTATGTTATGAATAAGCAAAATTATCAACGTCTGAATCCCAGGCCATGTACTCTAGTGTTGACAATTATTTATTAATGTTGGTATGTGAATATTACAAAAAGCGAATTATTATCAAAGTGCCGAGAATCTTGATGAAATTTTCAATAAATATGACAATATCAAATCAAGTATCGTATTCATTAAACATTAACTCATGGAAGAACCGATTGCTGATGAAAGAACTATTGGTTCAACCCTTGTGCTACTTTTGTGTAAATATTATGATAATACAGTAAGAACTCTGAAAACCGGACCCTATCCATACTTTACAAAAAGTCCTGTTTTCAGAGGATTCCGGTTTTCAGAGGTTTTATACATTTATTGATAATTATGATGTATTTGAACAATGACTTTGTTAAATCATTTTGTATTTACTTTTCAAAGCTTTTTATTTCTTTTTGCAATAAAAAAGTATTTTTATTATGCAAATCCATGAATATAATTCAGAAAATCAGTTATTTTAAACAAAACATTGTCTGAAATATATCCTAATATGGCTTTGAAATATGTAATTTTTATGGAATTTAGTATTACAGTACTATTTTTGCATTAAATAAATGTCCAAGCAAAGATAACTTCAAGATCAAAATTTTAAGCAAAACAGGAATCATTTAACAATAGTCTCATAATTCTTTAAGCCATTTTATATAAAAAACAACAAAAAAACAACAAATTATAAACATTTTGCAAAATCCTACCTATACAGGGAAAGACAGTTATGATGAAATAGCTTTAATCTAATTGCCAATATAGAAAATAAACACATACTGAGAATTGTTTTAACACCTGCATACAAAATCAAAGGGCTGCAAGCTCTGTGGTATTTTCTGATCCCTGGAATCTAAATCGTACTGTATATCTGTATGTGTTTTCCTGTATAAGTTTATTTTTATGTACTATAAGTCATCTTGCAGGGCACCAGAGTTTGATACATACGGAATTTTGCATAACTAGAGTTGCATCAAAAAATAATTTATGTTCATTTTTTATGGTAGCCACACTTTATCCTTGCATATCGTGGCTATTTCCTTAAAAAAGACACTAAAAAAAAGAATTAAAAAAATGTTGACTCGACTGGGATTCGAACTCCGGACCTCTCAGACCAAACGAGCGCGTTACCCCTGCACCACGGAGAAGTTTTATAATCAACAGCTGAATAAAATCAAGTCATTCTAAATTTAGAATTTCCATTGCATTTCGGGTTAGGGTAATTTCGAGGTATTTTGTTCAGGGTAAACCTGTTGTTTAAAATTGAAGAAAATAATTTAGCAAAAATCTTCTCGCCCAAACAGTCCAACATGTAGGAACTATATATTCAACTACTTGGCAGTCAGATTTATTTGTGTAGTATTCGGATATCGACATCGCTAAAATAGCATTTTCATTGATTAAAATCATATTCATCCGCGTAATTTGTGAGTGTGCATTTATTGACAACTCTATAAGCCAACGCTACTTTAAAAGTTTGAAGGTGTAGTAATTGGTTTGACACTTGTAATAAAAAATTGTTCTTTCTTTTAAATTGCTGGTTTTTAAGCAGTTTTGAGTGAGAACTAATTTGCGTTGTTAGGACTGTTAGGAAATTTTGTGTTAGACCGTGGATGTTAGCTATGTATTATCTGATCTGCGATCAGAAAATACAAAAAGGAGGTGATCATTAACTGGTAATTGAACATGTGACCTGTTGAGCTACATTATAATACACAGAAAAATGACACTTGAAATTGCTGTACGGTTTTGAGGATTGATTATGCATGTTTCCTATTAGTAGCCATAGAAAATCGTCCGGTTTTCGGAATTCAGAGGTTCCGGTATTCAGAGGACTTTTTTCAATGAACTTATAAAGAGAAAATACGAGACTTTTAAAATCGTCCGGTTTTCATAAGATTCCGGTTTTCAGATGGTCCGGTTTTCTGAGTTTTTACTGTATACTGTTATAAATGTGTACGAAAAGAGCAATAAAGTATGTTTTAATCAGTAAATAAAACTTTATATTTACTACTGAACTTTGAGTTTTCTCAGCTTATGCCCATTTTTTTTCAGCAGCTTAGAAGTTGGGCCTGGTTCACTGTATATCTTTGCAGTGCAGTTTGCCTTGTTTATCTTCATATTGATAATCTTTTTACAATAACATTGTAAAAACATTCTCCTATTGATCATCTTAGATATTGAGTTATATTTAATTGCTACATTTTAACATGTATAGACTTATTTATTTCTTGCTTGTTTAACGACGATTTTAACACCGTGTCGGGCAATCAACCGTAAACTCTTTCTGAAAAAAAAACCCAGAAATTACCATTTTTCCCCAGCTTCAGCATGCCTTCTGAATCAGCTGTTCGAGAAATATCACCATTATACTCAATATATAGAGATTTTGAGCTATTTGACACCTATATCCTGTATGAATCTGAATAAGCAAGGAAATTTCGCCTCGCCTGATGATCGGACAATTTCGTGCATTACTAATCCAGTGTTAAGCTAGCTGACATCTATTTCCTGTTGAATCTGTAAAAGTTGATACATATGATGACAGATTTTATTGACGTGTAACACATTTATAACGTTCCTGAAGCACGAAACTTAAATTGATAGACTGAACATTTTCTAAGAACCACACGTGTATAAATATTACATATTCTGCATAGCAAAATACATTACACCGGACAATGATTTGACATCCCAACATTAAGAGGACAGTTTAATCGGTCAAAGATTGCACAGTGATCATGGAAAGCAAGCATAACTCGTTTTTTTCTGTCTTTATGGTATATTGTTCGTAATAATTTTTGTTATTTTTAAGACTTAAAACAGGCAAAGTAAAAATCATCAGCTTGCAAAAGAAATAAAAGATAGTAAGGTGGAAATGTATTCGAGAGTTTTCTTCGAAGAAAAGATAAACGCGTGAAAGGAAAAAGGATATAGATACAAATAAACTAATAAGTGAACATGATATGAAATTAAAAAGACATAAAGCTTCGACGGTTAAGACGTTTTGTGGTAAAATACGAGGGTTGTCCCAAAAGTCAGAGACTAATCTTATAGACGGTTCATTTTAAGCGACAATAGATAATAATTCACACATATAACCTATAAGTTTATTATTTGACATTACAACAAATTGTTTACAAAATATATACTTTAGTTACTTATTTTTTTCAAAATTAATGACATTGGTTTGAGTTCCCGGAGTACGTCAAATAATTTGCATTTGTTATGAATAGGTTTAAATAGGATACATATATTTCACATTTCTGATGATGTGTCAGCACAATACCGCACTGACTTGCTGTTATGTTGACATCATCGTAGAAAATTTTAATAACATAACTTAAGAAACGAAAAAGACACCAAAAAAAATTGAAAATATCTCATAGAAAAAAAGGAAAGTTAAAATGGCGACGTTCGAAGAATGTTAATGTCTGTAATTGTCGATTTCTGGGTAAAAGTGCACTGTTTAGAAAGGCGCTTAATACAGACTTAAATCAATCTTTGAAGTTTGACGTGCGCCGCGATTCAAATAGTTGCAAAGTTATTAACGGCATATTTTTGTTGTTTTTGATATTTTTCTACGTAAATTTGTAAAAAATGTGTTTATCACATATCAAATTCATTCCTATTTTATATAGCTTTTAAACAATATTGTCAAAGAATATTTGGACAACCCTCGTATTTTTTTGCCAATTTGAAGAAAAATACATTCACTTATCACAACATACTTATTGTAGCAATTCACCGACAATAAATCACTTTTTTGGTCTTGTTGTCCATTGGTTATGACCTTGTTGTCAGCTGCAATGACTACCAGTCGAAGAAGGTATAAAAATAGAAAGTTAGTGCCCAAAGACATGTATACGTTTTGCTATGTTCTTTAGAGGGACATACAACTCTATGTAATATATATCATTGGTACATTTAACATTTTTGAAAATCACAGAGAAAAATACTTATCCCGTTTTCAGACCTAAACCAGGCTATAAACTTTTTTACAATTATCTCAAGTACTTTAGCCATTCTTTGGTGAGCAACATGATTTCTTGATACTCTTACGTTTTCATATAATAAAGTTGTATTTTACCTTCGAGTCGACGGATTTTCTGTGCAAAATGGTACGAGTGGGAGCATTCAGCAGGTGCGTGATGACGTAGTAACCTACCATTGACAAACATCATGGTATAAATACATCCTCAGCTGCTCTTTGGCGGTGGTCCTGTGATGATGGCTGGTTATGATTAATGCTTCCGAGTGATCATAGTTTTTTTCCAGAAAGTTTTTTTTCTTTCTTTCATTTTCTTTTAATTGTTTATTAGATGCGTTCATTTAATGCCACCTTTTATTAAAGGGTATTAATCTACGAGTGTCGTCCGGAAAGTCCGTAGACACCTGTTTTAAAACGAGTATTTCGCATCAGAATTAAATAAAACTTTTTTCAAATTACTCACCAATGTTCCGTGATCAATGCTACACAATTTTAAAACTTTATGTTATTAAAAAAAATGAAACGGCACGGTTTTATGTAAAGGGATGTACAGGTGTACGGAGCACGCCATGACGTTACTCGTGAATGTACTTACTAAAATGTGACGTCAAGGTTGAAGCGCATTTATTCTTTCTCAAAACATATTCACCGTTGCATCACACACATTTCCTCAGTCTATTAACCGATTTTTCATACACCTTTGAATACCAGTCACTCTCAATTCCAGCAATAATGCGTAGTGTTGCTTTTCTTAGTTCAGTGAAATTCCTGAACTTTAAACATCTGAGTTGCGACTTTATCAATGGGAACACGGCGAAATACATTGTTGCTAAGTCCAGACTCTATGCAGCCCTCTATGCAACCATGAGTCGTAAACCCCAGTAACTGACTTTCCAGCGGAGCAGTTGCAGCCGTATGAAACCATGTTTCATGAGTTGTAATAATTCTGTCAAAAATGCATCACCGCCTCTTTTCCATGGGCGAAGAAATTATTTTGCTGCTCTAACACGCGCCTCTTTATCATTACTGGAAAGTAACCTGGGGACCCAATATGGACAAACACGCTGAATCCCAAAGTTTTCAGTGAGCATTGTATGCACATTTGTCTTTCAAATATCACATTGCTCAGAAATAGCTCTTAACGTTAGGCGCCAGTCATCATTTGTTATTAATAAAATTTAGTCTTGCTGAATGCAAATAGTCTGTTGTTTCAACTCTACCATCATGAAATCGCTTGTACCATTTGTATACATGAGCGCGAGAAACACTTGGCCTTTTACTGTTTGAGATAATAAATTCAATCGTCTGTCCAGGCGTTTTCCCAAGCTCCATGCAGAATTTTACTAGTACACGCTGCTCCATCCAAACGTCTGACGTCGTTCTTTTTGGCGAGTTTTCTCCCATGATTTATTGTCAATAGCTCTCCTCACTATTTTATTTTAAAAAGATAACATTCAATTCATAACAATATTTTAAGGATCTTACATCGGATGCCAGTACAGTACCCTCTAGCTCGAGGGTAACTGTTTTCAGCGGTAACGAGACTTTGTCGTGTTTCCGCTTAATAGCTACACGAGAGATAGATATTTAGGTCTGTTACGGCAGACGGTGTTTGAGTCTTTTTCTTGCATATTGAATAGAAATCATATTTCGGTAATAAATGACCAAAACTTTTGTTTCTGTGCAGCACTTTTTTCTCATAGTAGTGTACGAATTTACAACTTGATTCATAACGGACGGCACATTGACGTCATCCTAAGAACGCAATTCCTTCATAAAAGGCGCATGGGAATGACGTCATTCAAAACACACGACTTATCTTACATTGGGGTGTTTGGCAGGTTTTTCTAGCACCGGTGTGAATGGCAGATAATCCTGTCTGATATGCAAGTCAGCGTGTAACGTCACGTCATGGATTGTTAATACCTAAAGAAAGAATGGAGCATGAGACTGGTAAATATCTCCAGTTTTGACGTACTCTGGATATTGACTTTGGCTTTCTGTAGGGATTCTGTATTCATCTATTTTATGATCACATCCGTGTTATTTGTGCCGTGTGGCGGCTGTAAAAAGTCTCCCCGTACATTTAATTTAATGATGTTATATTTTCGATCCTTGAAGATCGTTCAGCACGACATTATTGTTGTGCTTGTGGTATTTTTAGTTTCAACTTTTCGGCATTTTCTAGTTGGGTGGTTCCAATATTCCAACTTGAATAATGTTGAATCACCCTTAGGATATGTTGCCTGCTTTTTAAATTTGTCTTTTGACGTCTTATCTGTGATACGCAGGCTTCATAACCTCTGATCCCCTTTCAAAATTCTATTTTATTTAGTTCCGCCCATTGTTTTCTCGTTTAGGGCACACGCTTTTTATTACTTGGGGCCCATACGCCGCTTTTCATGGAATGGCACGGAAGTGTCACATTGAAGGTTCCATGATAACCGCCGTATGAACACATCTTCGGATGTTTCTAAATTCAAGATTTTACCATTTCATGTTTAAATGTTGGATTCTGCTTAAGCCGGTGCTAGGGGGTGTGGACGGTAACTTGCACTTTCCAGTACCGTCCATGAACAGGCTCAATCAAACCGAGCCTGCAACATTTTCAATTTTGCCGTGTTGGGCTTTCTTTAGGGATTCTGTATTTATCTATTTTGTGCATGCTTTAAGGCAATTTATTGCCATTTTCATTTTGTACAAGCATTTTGCAAGTATTCTTTTTTAAAACTTAATCTAAACGAGTTTGTACCCTTAAGATATTACCGTTCTTGACTTTCTTTATTTTCAGTTTAACCAAGGCATAAACTATGCAATTGGTTATTACATACAAGTTTGAACAACGAACATGTATTCTGTAATGTTATCTCATCGTTTCTATAAAAGTGATATATTTACTTAGTTTTAAATTAATTACCTTTTTTCTTTCCTATCTTTTATAAAGCGCAGAGCACACGGGGGAGGAAGTGTTACACGAAGGATGGAGTTCTTATGATAACTTTTTTATATTTCTTATGATAACTGTCACGGAGTTCCTGGAAAATGTTACGGATTTCTATTTAAAACTTTTCTATATACTTAAAGAACTCATGTGAAAAATGGTTATTTTTACCTCTAAATGGGGAGTTTGAGGTGCTAAATTAAACTTCGATAATTAAGCTTGCCTTACATATTGTATTTTGTTTCAGAAAAACCTTTTAGTTCATTTTTCATCGCCTGTTATTTTTAAAATCTGGTAGTTTTGAGTAAAATTTCCAAATTACTTGCTCATTCGTACATATTGACCTTCACATGTGTGATCTTCTTCGTTGCTATACTTAATTACCTAATTATAGTGAAAAGTTGCAAACATAAAACCCAGGCTAATAAATGTATAGCAGATTTTTCAAATGTCACGGAGTTCTTGTGATAACTCATTATATGTCCTGGAGTTCTTATGATAACTTTTGTTACTGACAGTGTGTTTCTTGTGCTTTATTACGGCACGTTTCAGCCAATAAGTGTGTAAATCATTACGAAGCATACTACGCTTATCATTTTCACAAAACATTTGTTATATAACGTTTGTTTAGAGTGTATTTCAGTTAAATATATCTTACCTCCGTTTCTTGTATTTTTGTGTTTGTTTGTATTTTGTGTTTGTTTGTTCGTTGTTGTTTTATTTTTCATTTTCTTGGATGAATGAAAACATACTTGATGTAGAGCAGGATAAAAATACGCGTTGAATTTAATACTCAAGCATGATTTTTTTTCATGTATTCATTATTCCTGGCAGTTTTAGAGAGCATTTAGAAATTATGCTATCGGTCTGCCGAAACAAATTACAGTAAATAGTTTGTAGCAAAATAAGAAGAAGTATGCACTATTTTATCTAAATCTAATGAGGTGGGTATCATCTTTAGGTATTCAACGGATATTCTAGTCTCTAAAAGGTATCATTTTTTGTCATAGAAACGTTAAGGTTCTGTGACAACGATATGACAATGGAAAGTAAGTCTTTAATAATATATGTGAGTCACCACAAACTTCTTGCCGTTCGTTTATCGACCTTGTTCCTTTCTCTATTAAATTCAATGTAGCATCACGTTACGTACAGAAATCTTATTATTGCATACATTTTTCTTATCAAAGTTGGAGTCCTTCGGGCACCCCCCCCCCCCCAGTATAGTCCTAGTTGTGGAAGTTCTGCAACAACTTTTACTTACTGTTATTGATTACAGAAATATATTGTCGAACTTCTTTCGCTCGAACCCGTAGGGCACGTGCAAATCTGTTGAAGAAATCGGTAGTGATCGGTTGATTTTTTATGTATAAAAAGGTCATACATTTCACGTGCATGGGCGTGAAGTGTATCCCGGTTAGATACTTGTTATTGGTGGTTTAAAATGATACAAATTACTTAGCCGCTTCTTGAGGGCAGCCCAACTATATATTGTTTGCTTAAGAAAGGCGGTTGCTTAAAACATGTGACTGAGAAAAATGTGTGTTTTTAACAATTTTTTCTTGGCGGTTTACGCCATGTTACTGCTGAATACAGGTGACTGCTGATTCATATTTTCCTGAAGATAGCTTATCACCTGTTTATCCTTTGTAGACTGTACACCAAAGCAGTGTCATGTTCAATCTATTCTTAAAAGATTTGGGGTTTTCTGACAGCCGAATCCTGAAAAAAATGACAATTACCAAAAAATTTACGTGACACAATTATTTACACACCAAGCTATATACCGCATATTAACTTAACGTTGTCATCATAATAACGATATGCATGTCTATTATGCGACTTATATATTTCTCTGTAGTTGCTGTAAATTCAGAGTTAACATTTCTTATGACATAAAACTATAGTTGATGAACAGTATACACAGAAACATTTAGTGCATTCGTTCGGTTTTATAATGTCAATATGAATTCGCACAAATTTGATTAGAAAAATATCTTTTGAACTAAAACACGCTCAAAACCAACATTATATAACCAATTTTTGTGTTAAGGCTGAACGTATTACGTTTCATGTTGATTTAAACACTTATCAGATAATAAAATGCGCTTAAACGTGCCGTAATTAAGCGCAAGAAACACACTGTCAGTAACAAAAGTTATCATAAGAACTCCAGGACATATTATGAGTTATCACAAGAACTCCGTGACATCTGGAAAATCGGTTATAAATTTATTAGCCTGGGCTTTATGTTTGGAACTCTCCACTATAATTAGGTAATTAAGTATAGCAACGAAGAAGATCACAAATAAAAAGGCCAATATGTACGAATGAGCAAGTAATTTGGAAATTTTACTCAAAACTACCAGATTTTTAAAAAACAGGCGATGAAAAATGGACTTAAAGGTTCATCTGAAACATAATACAATATGTAGGGCAAGCTTAATTATCAAAGTTTAATTTAGCACCTCAAACTCCCCATTTAGAGGTAAAAATGACCATTTTTCACATGAGTTCTTCAAGTATATAGAAAAGTTTTCCACAGAAATCCGTAACATTTTCCAGGAACTCCGTGACAGTTATCATAAGAACTCCAAACAAGTTATCATAAGAACCTTATCCGTGGAGCATATACTAATTATTGTAGAAACAAAGCCTTCTACTGTAATTGAAAACGCAATTTATGAAAGTTAATTTACAAAAAAACTACATTAGTCATTACCTTTCAGTCTAAAAACTAGTATCTAAACTATCTTTCTGATGGGTCCTTTATGTTTTGTTTTTCTTAAGCTAAAAGTCGCATTAACATTATATACCCAGTATGTCATATGACAAGTTTTCTATATTTGTTATTTACAAGCAGGCACCTTGGGTAGAATCATTGACCTTTCGCAAGCTATTTTGACAGCTTCTTCCAATGACACAACCTAAAGTACCTGTTGATATTCGAACCAACAGTGTCAGGAACAAGTATTTTGAAGACCTCCTAGGTGTAGATCACCTTTTTCCAATTTAATAATCTTGTCAAACAGTTTCACAAAAATAAGTAGCGTGGGTCTTCTGTTGTTTAATGTCGCGTCAATGCCAATTTGTTGTTATTCTTATTGTGCCAGTATCATCTATCATTTTTGTATAACTTAACTTTAATGCTATTACAAATAGAACCAGTTTTCATTCTAATTTCTTGCTTTGGCAAACAAATACAAAACATAAACTTTTAACTTTATGAATTGGATACATCACATATGGATCAATGCAGTGCCCGTTTCGGTTTTTATAATTTTGAAATTGTTTGCCTTTGTTTTGTTTTTTGTTGTCTTGTTCATAATTTGATTTCAGAAAGGCGTAACTCAGAAAGCATCTGATATGACAACTTGAAACTTCAAAGATGGATAGATCAACATGAGGAAAGTACAATGGATGGTTTTTTTAATACTAGTACTTTATTGTGTGCGGGTCATAATGTAATGTTATAGAATAAAATTTCTGTAATTGAAGAAACTTGTTTTTTTTATGTAACGGGGTTATTTATTTTCTTAATCAGTACATAGAATAAATTAAGTTTTACATATATTGTAACATTTGTACTTTGACAGGTTGACCATATCCCTCGTAGGCGAGGTTCATTCAATAAGGGGCTGTGTATAAGGAAATAATAGATATTCTTAATGTATTTATGTTTTACTGTACGAAATTAACCATTTTAACGTGGAACCTATACCAATATTTACTCGACCAAAATATTCTCTTACATTCAAAATATAATTATTCAAAAGAAAACTTAAAGAAAAAATAGTAAAAAACATTATCTCACTTACGTGATAAAAGTGTCCCTGTCCTTGACAAAAAGTTATTTTTAACATAAAATTGCGTCGCGTGCCCTTATTATCTGTGATCCACATAAATGATTTAACCGCTTTTGTTACCAGTAGTGCATTTTTATACGCTATATTATTGGCTATTAGTTGTACAAGTATAAGCGTGTTAGATGAATAAAAATAATACGCGCATAAGCAGAAGTAAGTATTATTTATTTATTACATATCTGCATAGTTCAGATATCCACTTTCAAATTATTAGATGCTGACTTGTAATCCATTTCAGCATAGTCCAGCTCGTTTTAACATACCGTCGACCATTTAATGGTGACGTCGGGAGATGCAGGGATGTAATGACTGTTATGACGATAAATATCCTGTCATTTACTTACTTATGCAAAAGATGTCAGACAAAACTGGCATTTTACCATAGAATATTTGTAATACTAGTTTGTATTAGATATTAAGTGAACGACGTACTTTTTGCAAGTCTTTGCTTGCATTACTTTCATTTCTTTCATAATTAAAAAGAATTTAAGAATTAATCGCCTAACAGAATAGTTTTCAAACAAACGTAAACTTAATGTCTAAAATGTTAAAAAGAAATATTGAGTGATGGTGAAATGTGCTAAAACATTTTAACTCAACCTAGAAATAAATTTTCATTGCTTCATGGATTATATAAGCTTTCATTTCACTTACTATTGAATGCATTATATTATACCTCATTTGCATACGCCCTTCTATATTTAATATATCGTCATCCGGTCCATAAACCGCATACAGACCGGGGGCGGTCCATAATTCTTATATGGACTGGATGACGTCAAATTAAATATAGAAGGGCGTATGCAAATGAGGTATAGTATTTTATTTTGTTGTTCAATGATTCTTTTTACTGAGTTAATTGTTTTGTTTCACATAAATTTAATACCTGTTGATCAAAAGTCATGATTTGTTTTATAATTGATTATAAATCTTCTTTATACAGTTTGTGAAAATTTTAAAAGTTTTTTGGCCTGTTTAATTTGATTAACAAAAATTGAATAACAAAAGAAGAGCATGATTATTTTTTGCTGTATCGCTTGAAAATAATAATAAAAATCCGAGTAGGGTTTCAGATATTTCACACACTGAACAAATAAATTATTATTTGAAAGCATTTATAGTAAAAATGACAGCAACAAAAGGGATGAAAGGATTTAGATTCGGTATAATATAACAAATAAAGCATGGCCTTTCGCGCAAAATGCAAGTTTATGGACTGGTTGGTCAGACCTCGGAAGGTATAAGGCCCTCAGCTGCGCTTCGGGCCATATACCTTCCTCAGTCTGACCAATCAGTCCGTAAACTTGCATATTGCCCTCAAGGCCATGTTTTATTTGTTAAATAACAATACCATGTTCCGTAGATCTGAGTTTGTAAGAAATAAAACATATTCATTGTTTTCATTTGTTACACGGACTGATGGAAATGCTCGAAAAAGTTTTTAACTCACTCAAATTGTGCATACTTTAAATGTAAAAATAGACCAAAAACAGTTAAATGTAAAAATCCCATTAAACCTTTACAGTAAAAAGACCTCCATAGCAAGTGCTCCAAATTAGATAAGATAATTATTATCATATTGCACTCAATGTACTCATTTTAAAAGTTTGATTTTGATTTTTTTTTCTATTTTAATGTTAAGCTACAATTAATCGGTGAAACATTAGGATACTGAAAGCTATAACAAAGGAAGGATTGATTGATTAATCAATTCATTGATCGTTCAGTTCATATTTTGAAAAGTGTAGGTTTTGTAGTGTATATTTGTGCGTGTATATTTATGAAACTGGATTTACGTATTGCAAAACTTGATTACGTTGTACCATTTATTATTATAGTGTTTATTTATATTTGTAATGATGCATTTACTTCTAATATCATTCATTACTAATATTGCTGATCATGCGGACTACCATTACATAGAAAACACATGCTATTCACAATTTGAATACAAAATAAGAATGATATGTAATTAGGTAGTAGTTTGCATAAATAGCTTAAGGTAGACCATGTGTGATGAGCACTATAAGGAACTGTAAAATTGACAATATGGGACAGTTATGTGTCTTAAAGGTCACCTGTATGCAAAATTAAAATAATATTTACTGTGTGGTTTATGAGATATGGATATATTTCTGAACTAAATCTTGCTATTAGAAGGGCATTTTTTTCAGAAATGAGGAACTCTAAATATTCTATAAAATCATCATTATGAAAAATGTTTTCCTATTGCTCATTGTTAAGAAACAAATGATAGCATTCAGATAACATATTACATGAGCAAAATGATTGTTTCTAAACAAGATGTTGTTCATATGTATAAAAAGGTTACCATACCCCACCCACTTTCAACACTGATTTGACCATTTCCCTAATAAAAAGCCTTATTTAAAATACCCCTTAAATAAACAACAACGGGGGGCTGTTTTTAAAGTTACATAATTGAAATCAAACACTTTTTTCTTCAATAAGGGATCTAAGAGATACATTGAACCAACGCCCCGCAATTTCAATGTAGTTAACAAGTGATTCTATCCTATTTGAATACTCTTCAAAGTGAAGGTAATGCATTACCCATGGTATACCTTAAGAAAGGGTTTGCAATTCAGCAATGACGTATGCAGTTGCAGGTTTAGCGTAAGGACACTCAATCCGCCGTCTAAGTGATTAATTCAGGTTATAAATTAGGCGGTAATTTTTACTATCGCTCGTTTTATTGAATAAATGTAGATAATGTTCCAAATATACTGGGGCTATAATTCAAACGAGACAGTAATAATATTTTTATAATATTTTAAAGATTGTGTTATCCAATTATGCTTTTGAGGTAATATCACACATTAAATAGATGTTTATTTTGAATGAAGTATATACATAAATATATTCTTAACAGTTTTATTTACGTTCATGAAGAAATGGCATAAATAATTCAGGTCACATTGAGCAAAGAGAACGTTGAGATGGCTGACAGAAGCGAAAGTTCACGAAAGGTGTCAAGTGATAGGGAGGTACAGAAAATTGAAAATATTAATGAAATACTTACAATAGACACTTTATATATTACATCAAAAATATACCAATCTGATAAAAGTATACATACTTTTTTGTTTTCTGATTCTATCATAACCAATTACATGTATCTAAAAGCTCATTTAAAATACCTTAAGAAGAAATATTTCTGCGTGTTTATATATAGGGAGAAGAAAATGACCAAAGTCTGTCTTCAGACTGTGGTGAAGTATCGATTGCTGGGCAAATCTGCAGCGATTCAGTAAAATCGAATGTTTGGATACGAGATTCTGGATAAGTATATTTATAATGTTAATAGACTCAAACCGGTTCAAATTATTTTTATAAGGTTTGAAACGTTTTCTCTACTGTTCAGTCGTTTGCCAATGACTGTTTTCTTTTCTGATAATTTTCTATATTAACATATGCAAATATTTTGATATAATCATTCTTATTTGATCAATGCGTTAGACAGTGCTTTTGGCGTTTTTCTCATATTTACAAAAATATAAGAATATTATGCTTTATTCAAAGGTTGGAGTTTGGCAGCCGAAAAGCAGGAACCAACATTAAAGAGCTCTGTAAATATCAGGTAGGAATTTGATTTCTACTTCAAAATATTGCAACAGTAAGATTAATGAGGATTTATTTAATATATTTACGATTTAAAATAACGAATAATACAGTAAAAATCTTCATGATAGTAACTGCACCATGAAGCTAAATTTGCAACAAAATAAAATGCCTCTTAAATTGAAAATAATCAAAATTAATGCCGTCAATCATGAAACAAGTATGAATGACTTGTTTTGCTTTGATCCCATCTCGAAAGTTCATTTTGTTTAGTTTCGCTTATTGTTTACTCGTTAATGACCCACGCGCATTATTAAACTTTGGTATAAAAAGCCACTTTAAAAAAGTCATACGGACATATCACGTTGATGGGTTTTAAAGTATGAACACAACCGCAAAATTAATGTTTCTTGATTCAAAATTTCACCATTTACATGTTTAAATGTTGAATACTGCATAAGCTGATGCTGGAGATCGTGGCCGGTATCTTTATGTCCCAACACTTTCCATAAAAAAGTTTGATCCATACAAAGCCTGCAACATTTTAAATTTTACCGTTCATGACATGTTCACAGCCTTATTTAAATCGTAGGACTAAACGAGCAGACAACCCCTTTTGCTTTTGAATGAATGAGCAAATTCATTAAGTAGTTATTCAATATTTCAACAATACCTTTAAAGTGCTGTGTGAAACCCATACCAAGAACAACCCGACAAATTGAAATGTCCTCCTTTTTGGTGATATTTCTGTTGGCAATGAGATAAAAGAACATAAAAAAGAGCTTAATTGAAATTGTTACAGGTTTGGTAGCCTGTTTATGGACGGTACTGGAAGCTGTATACTAGATTGTCCCCGTCCCTAGCACCGGTTTATGCATAATTTAAATTTTTCATGGGAAGATATTTTAAATTTGGAAACATCCGCTGTTACAATAACATGAAATAACAATAACATCAATGTTACAATAACGTGAAAAGCGGATTATGGTCTCTTATTAAAAGAATGAATATGTCTAATACGAGAAAACAGTTCTTGTTTTCGGAATTTTACATCAGTTTCATAACAAGAGCTCTATCCAACGTTGTGCATGCTTTCGTCTCGCAGTGCAATCCAGTTATCGGTGTATTTCATCGAATAGAGCTCCAGATGGAAAGAGTAACGTGTGAACAGACAATTAACTCGAAATTCATCACTTTCCTTAACATTTCTAAATTGTTAAATTTTAAATTAATATACTTTGTATTTCTACTTCGTATATAAAATTTCAGGATGAAATATGGCAACCTAAGCGTTTTTAAACAACCAATGTGTCTGATAAGGAATGATGGTAATGAGACTTTAGCCGTGGTTGAAGATGTCCTGCAAGAAATATCGACCATTGATAATACTGTTAATGTAATAGCAATAGCAGGTCCATACAGAACCGGCAAATCTTACTTACTTAATAAGTTGGCAGGACGCAAACAAGGTAAGAAAAGTTTACTTGCATTTTACTGTTCAGACAGAAACTGACGACCAAAGTTAACAAAACATTGTTTTACACAATTAATCATTTTTGTCAACACGCGTAAAAGTCGGTCGTATAATACCCATTGTATCATGAACTGATTTTAGTTCAAATGGCTTAGTTATACACTTCAGTTACGCCAGTTATTTTTTGAAGCTAAGATTATCTTGGCTCTCAATTTAGGTTGAATTTCCATACACAAATTCCGCTTAGAAGGATTATACATGTTCATATCGTTTTCATTATTTGCTCTAACATTTTCTTAAATTTTATTTCTATTTCTTTAAGGTTTTCCCCTAGGCAGTACTATTGAAGCAAAAACAAAGGGTTTATGGGTTTGGTGTTTGGAACACCCGAAACGACCTCAAGAAATTTTAATGTTGATCGATACAGAAGGAATTGGTGATGTCAATAAGGTATCAGTGTTATAAGACGAGTAGTTAAATTTTCTATCTTTGAAATAACGACACTATGCTTGATATAGGTAATGTATATATTGTTGAAACAACATGCTTCCATACTTTGCTTATTTTCGTGATAATTATGAAAGTACAATAGTGTGCAGTAAACAAAGAAAGTGATTAACACATTGCTAACGGAAAATACAATCCACATAAATAACTAAATAGAGGTAAAATATGCAAAAATAACCCTTACTGCGTTTGTAATGCATCCAACATATGGTTATTAATACGGCATAATCAGTAATAAATCGCATGTAACATTTTTCACTTTTTGTTAACATCTTATAATAATATTTTATTTAAGTTTGATTTTCATTGAATGTTCAACATTCAGCTTTAAAAAATTAAAGAATGATCGTTTTTCATTCGATGTTTCTAAATTACAATTTTTAATATCAGCGTGTTTAAATGTTGAATGTATGTTAAGCCGGTGCTAGTGGGGCTTGAACTGTAATTTGCATTTTCAAGTACCGTCAATGACCAGACTGAAATCAGAAAAGGCAACATTTTCAATTTTTCAATTTTTGTTTTTTGACTTTTTAGGGAACCCTTTAATTTTCTTTTATTATAAAAAGCGTTCAATATTGAAACTTATTGAACATATCATTGGTTGTTGTGTTTACAAATATCCGAATTGAATATGAACGAATTAAGTTAAATTGCATAGTAATCTTATTTGCATTCTCAATGATTTAAACTGAAAATTACATTACTTATAGGATTACATTTATTTTTCAGGGTGACGAAGACAACGACAATAACATCCTTTGCCTTGCGACATTATTGAGTTCAACATTTGTTTATAACATGTTCGGGGCCATAAACGAACAACTGCTGAAAAGTCTCTCGTATCCTTTTCTTCGATATATCTCACATTCACTGTTTTTGTCTTATTTGCAAACAACTTTAATATTTTATTAGGCCCCTGCCGCCCAAGAATTAATATATATGAAAGAATGAAGCTATCAGTAGCTCGCCGCTATGGTGACAAAAGTGATAACGCCACAATAAAGTTAAAAATAACTTACATATATGAAGTAAATAAGCACGACTAAAACGCAACAGCCGCTGTGGTATTGTGATTTTTCTATTTCCCATTCATGACTTTCTTTCTATTTAATGCTAAAATGCTAATTATTATTTTATTATAAAGTACCTTTACTAATTTAAATGTCTACGATGTCTTACAATAAACAATTGAAATTAAAATATGTACTTGTATTTATCTAATTGGTCGAATGCCTTATTTGATTATTGATAAAAGAAATTTATCACAAGTCGGCAACCGTTTAAATTAAAAAATATCTTGTTATTAATTGACTTGTTAACTTGACCAAATAGTTTGCAATTAAGTTAGAGTCAATAAGCGAGAAATAAATCTGTTCGTTTTGTATTAAATTCTTTAACATTAAAACGTTTTGTGACAAAAATTGCCAAGAAAGTTGTTTTAAGCAGGACTTGGTTCACTGAAAATGCCCAATTTTCACCCGATATTGGCTACTTTTTTCCATCTTTTGTTTTGTGTCTCAGAGACTTCTCATTAGAAATGGGCGATGCTCAATCCCCCCATCATTATTTTGAAAATTGTTTGACGATGAAGAAGGCAACTGATGCAAAAGCAAAGAAATACAATGCCCTGAGGTTGTCAGTAAAGCTGCATTTTGAACATCGATCCTGTTTCCTGTTTGACAGACCTGCTGCTGGTAAAAAGGATCTTGCTCGTCTCGAGGAACTGGAGGAAAAGGAACTTAATCAGGACTTCCTCAATGATACGGAATTATTTTTAAAGCACATCTACGATTGTAAACCAAAGACTTTCATGGATGGATCACTTATAAATGGAAGGAGTATGTTATTTATTGGCATTTATATTTCAATTTCTGAAGGTAAATTCCTCTTCTTAAAATATTCATATTTATAGGTCAAACAATAAAACTACTTGGTCTTTGCATAAAACACTTCAAGAAAGGAGTGATCTCTTAATAAATAAATACATTATTGAAAATTGCTTACCCAGTTTTAGTGAGTTTAATCACCAGATGTAATTGTCTCTTACGCATTCTGTCACCGTTGAAGCGGTTTTCAATCAACAGGACTAAAAGTAATTTAATTACCAATCCCGAAGGACCAGAAATATATATCAACGGTTAGTGGAAGTACGGAACAACGTTTCAAAGAATAAAACACCTGCTTTTATGACTATTAATCTTCTGAAAGGTTAGTAGCTCAAGTGTAATGAAACTATGAAAACAAAACAATTATCAATCGCATAATCGGTTTTATTGCGTCTGCTCTGCTCAAAAAATAAAATTGAAGGCGCAGAAAATACATCAACCTTACTCAACGCTTGTCCAGACAAACGTCATCTGGAGAAGTAAAATGCATTTCATTATGAGTTCGCAAACAGTCCTTTTTTAATAAATATGTAATATTTCTTTTTTATTTCAGTTATTCTTGTAAAATCAATATACTTTCAGTATTTTCACATCTGGTTGAAGAATATACGACAGCAATCAAAAATGGAGAACTACCATGTATAGACGATACTTTGACTCATGTGTCTGAAAAAGAGAACCGTATTGCTATGCATACGGCCATAGAGATGTTCACAGACCAAATAGAATCCCTTGGACTACCTTTGCCCAGTGATTTTGAGTTGAAGTACAAACACATTCAGAAGGCTTCTCTAAGAATATTTCGACAAATTGCTGTGCTAGATGATAAGAAAATATTTGAAAAACAAGCAGAGGTATATATGTGTTGTGAAAGAAACAATTTCAGAAAAGAAGTTGAAATAGCCTAAAAACGCCTAAACCTTTTTATGGTTTCTTATTTTGAATAATTAATAATGACATCTCGTCCGGGTTTTGGTGTCCTGCTACTTTGTCGGGGGATGTATTCGTTGAATGCCACACTTCCTTGTTGATCTTGTTTTTCATATTTAAGTAATATTAAAATAAATGTGTACATACGTATTTGCAATTTTGCATTCTGAACTTGCCTGCATCTCTTGTCGCATTTCTTGACAAATAAAAACAAATACAGATAAAATCTCAAATATGATCAAAGTAAAACATGCTTATGAATGAAGCAATCTTCTAAATAATAGTGCAAAGCAATTGTGCTTAATGTTGTCTTTCTTTTAAGTTAATAATTGAATGTAATGATTTATTTTAACATATTTATAATTATTCTAATTTAAAGTAAATAAATCTGTATTTAAAAGTTTTTATTTACAATGTATAAAAATTGTATGCCAATCTCTTTTTTAATGTTTTAATTTTCATAAAAGGAGTTTTGCGTTGATTATTAATAATAACAACGTTATTTTATATGTTTTATTTATAAAAGTTAATCTTACATTAAAGAATGATATTATATGATTCTTTATTTTTTCCAGAGAGAAATGGATTCTGTTAAGAGAAGAATTGAAGGAAAGAACAAGTTGTTTATTCAAGATACTTCTTTGAAGATATTGCAGAACATGTACAACATAAGAATAAAACCAAAAGTTGATAACGGAGAATACTTTAACAAAGGGGGATACAATGTGTACAACGGTGACTTTGCTAGCTTACGAAGACATCTCAGACAGCAATTACCTGAAGCTGATTCAGACTTAGTGAGTAGAATTAAAGTTGCCGTGTTTTTGCCTAAATATCTAACAAATAAAGTCGCAAAACATATTTCTTTTTAAAGGAGCTCATACGGGAAAATAGCATAAAACATTAAAGCTTGAAATTTTTACATAGATCAAGTGAAGCACTAACAGTTGGAAATCAGTAAAAAAATATATATGCTCAAAATTAAGTTGAAAATCTTTTGTTTGTGTATGCAACACTTTTAATTTTTGGGTCGTTTTGCACAATACAGATCATTACTATGGAGAAAAAGGCAAGAGCATCATTTGAAAATTTGCACCAATTTATTTTTCAAGACCTACATTTAATGGTTCACAAATCTAGAAAATACTAAAAGTCTGTCGTATCATGTCTCGGTGGAGTCCCTTTAAGTTTTTACCTTTCCACAGGTTTTCAAAATATACAGTACATATATATATATATATATATATATATATATATATATATATATATATAGTTAAGGTGACTAATAGCATTATTTTATTGGCTTTATTTTTTGGCCGAGAATATTCCCATTTCCGTGAGGTCACACACCGTGAGGTCACACAAAGTGATGAAATGAAATCAATTAATAGAGCTGACGTCTTAAATTAATGCAATAGCGAAATCGTACGGTTTATGAACCTTTTTGCACTGACGTGATTTTTATATTACATTAGTCAGTCTGTCCATTTTTTTTATGTAAGGTTAAATTGTTTCATAACTACCGTTATAGGCCTTCTTAATATAGAAATATTAACCACTATGAGAAGCCGTGTCGTGCTTATAAACAATGCCTCTAGGTCAAGGGTCAAGTTCACACTTTAAAAACGCTTGTTCGGAGTAAAACTTCTACATGCATATAGGGATTTCAATATAACTTAGCACAAATGTTCATTATTGTGAGGTGGAGTGTCGCGTTCAAAATTGAGGTCCCTGAAGCCAAGTTCAAGGTCACACATAGGGGTCAAAGTTCAGAAAAAATATGAAAATGTGTATCGGGACCATTTTGTCATCATTGTTTTGAGGGATTGAACCACAAATGGTCATTATCATGACTACTGGTGTGAAACATGTAATTTAGGTTAATCTATGCAAGGTCAAGGTCACTAAAAATGATTCTCAAGGTCACTAAAGATGATTAAATATAAATTTTTTGTCCAGAGCATATCTTTTACACTTATGAAGGGAATCTTATGAAACTTCATACAAATGTTCACCAATATGTGAAGCCGTGGCATGCGTATGAACCAGGCCTCTAGGTCAAAGGTCAAGGTAACACTAAGAGGTCGTAGATAAATGCTTTTCCGGAGCAAAACTTCTAAATGCATAAAGGGATTTCAATATAACTTGGCACAAATGTTCACTATTGTGAGGCGGAGTGTCGCGTGCAAAATTAAGGACCATGCGGCCAATCAATGTCACATATTGGGGTCAAACTTCAGATAAAATAATCACTAGAGATGATGATATATCCAGATATTTTCCGGATATTGCTCAGAGAATATCTCCTATATGCATATCTTAAATACCCACATCTCTGTCAAAAGCTTCTGTGACGGGCGTATATTGCGACAATTTTGCCCTTGTTTTTGTTAAAGATTGTGTGGTTCCAATTTTTCTACATATTCTATACTGATCAGGGGAGGTAATTGTTGCGAAAAATTAGTAAACTCCAAGCTACGATTACTTGCCCTGACCAGTAGATAAAGTACGAGGCAGACGCTAGGCGTATGTGAGACATTCCGTGTCTTCAAAGCGTTTCTACTACATACAAAAGTTTCGGTCTGAACTGTGCATTGGTTATCTAATACGAACAATACGAATAAAACACCTTATAATGTTAAAAATTTAATGTTACACTGGCTCGATTTGATCGAATGTGACACTGGTAGCATACCACGAGAAATTCAATGTAGTCAAACGAGTAAAACTTCATTTTTAATTTTAGCTACACATGTGTGCTCTTGATTTTGAAAGGAGATATCGGAAGCTAGACAAGGAAATACTGGAGAAGGATAATTTGAGTGTATCAGAAATAAATGGTATGTAGCAGGTTTTGTATCTTTTTAATTAATGTTTCTATAACTAGGTATATTGAATAAAATGCATAGAAATAATTGGCTTCAGGACGGAATGAAATTTTAAATTATCTTTGACCTCGCTCTTGAACATTATGATATGACGCACTTTGAAATTATGGTGTGTATGAGAAAATGACATTAATTAAAAAAAAACTTGGTACAAATGGATCTTTGAGTTCAGTGATACATTTCCAAAATAACAATACATACAATCAGTCTCCATCAAATTCTAATATTTCCTGCTGATTTTAAATGAAATATTTTAGAATGCCTTACCAACGATTCAAATTATATGTTTTCATTTAGCTAAAGTACAAGAGATCAAAGAAAAATTTGATCAGGAAAAGAAAGAGCTGGAAGGACATGTCGAACAGAAAAGACAGACAGAGCAAAAAGCGCTAACCGAGTTTAAACAAGAACTCTCCGATGAAAGAGAAAAAGAGGAGAACGAGTTAAAGAAAAAGTATGCTGAAATGGCTTTGTATTGGAAAATTAAAGAAGGAAATCTTGAAAAGCAAATTGAAGATTTAAAGCTACAGCTTGACAAGGCCTCTCTTCAAACTGAACATGAAAAACCACCAATGAAAGAAACAGTTTTGAAAACAATGCTGAGCTTAATTCCCATTTTTGGCCCAATAGCATCTGGGGTTTATGAACGTTACAAATCTTCGACGAAGTCATAAACGTTCTACTTGGTGTGTTTCCTTATCACCGTACCATTCTTAACAGAAATGTGTTACAAAATTTTACTTAATGAAAATTAAGAAACATATTCCAACTTAGCGTTGCCTTTAGATTATCTGAAACATTCTAACTTTTATTTCAAATTAATAAAGTTATATTGATTATTTTCTTGATTAAACAAAGTATATACCATTTCCATGATGTGCATAATCTGAAATGATTATTGTTTGTCGTTTTCACCATTTAAGATATTTAAAGTTCTGGCCTTATTATCTTCAAGTAAAAGTGAATAACTTTGAAAATAATTTGTATCACTTTAAAAATAAAAAGAAATATGTTCTTTGTAATATTCCTTGCAAAAGTAATGAGTAAATTTCATACAGTTTAGTAATACCGTGTTGTCTATTTATATAATTATATAATACAACACTCCTTGCTTAACATTTATAAATAGACATATGCAAACTGTTTCATGTAATGTATTTTTTAGGGTATGTTATCAGAATCTTTTAAAAAAATAAACTGAAATGCCTTTGAATTTGTTTTTTGGCGATTTAAAGACACTTAACCAGTTCTTACATCTAAGCAGACGAAGCCAAATAGAAAGAACTAAAAGTACCTCAAAGACAACAGTAATGTCGTGTTGAGCGATCTTAAAGGATCTGAAATATTCATTTACGACATTAAACGAACATTTTAAAGAATGTGCTTCTGTCGGGAAGCTTATTGTAATGGCACAATTTTTGGATCAAGGACAGAACTGAGGAAGTAACAAAGAAAGAAGAATCAACTAAATGCAAGAAATAAAATAAACAATAAAGCTTTTAAATTACACAAATGACATGTTATCGTGGCAAAATTAGCAATAAACGAATTAAAATTACAAGTTATAGTCTATCTATTTTCTGACTTTATTAACCCTATTTTCTGATCTAATTGGGACAACTTCATACTTTCTTAACGTCAAAATTATCCAAAACCCAAACAAAGATATTTAGAAAAATTACCTTTTAAAGAGTAATGTGTTATAAGCCGGTGGCTAATTATGCGTGAAAGATGTTGCATTTTTTACAATATCTAATGTACAGACTCAATCAAACAGAATATGCAATCAATTTTCATGTAATTTTATTGTGATTAATGCTTCCGAGGGATCACCTATTCTCAAGATTTTTAAATGTGAGAGTAATTGCAGGAGATGGCAAATTCAAATCATTTAATGGTAGAAGTATCAATGTAATACTATATACATTGATACCAAGCATCAACTGAAGAAACATGTGTGGAAGGGAAAAGTCAACTACTGTTGTCCACTGTTGTTGTCGTTTTATTGTAAAAGATCAAATCAGAAACGGCGTTGATTAAACTGAAAAACACGTTAAACATACATTCGCACATAATGGTTAGTTCAGAGAAAACTGCTGTGAAAGTTTAAGATCTGAATAGATTAATTAAAAATATAACGATGATTGCTTTAAAAAGAATCCCTTTAATATTAAAAATTTATTACCAAAGAAAAGGGAAAAAGTACAGAAAAGTTTAAATTTTGCTTTGGAAATATGCGGATGAAAATGAAGAAACTTTTAACATGTACGAAATTTTTCGGGGATTTAAAATAAAGTTTACATATACCCCTTCCGACAAAATAACACCGTAAAACTTTCATGATATTTTTGGGAAACTTTTTCATTATTGTTTTTTTAAAATTTTTAAAATATTTCATAGGGTGTGACCAGAAACACTTCCCTTTTTTCCAAAGGGGGGAAACGAGGGAAAAATTCTAAGGGCGATAAACCCTTGAAAGGGAACCCATTTTAAATCTCAAAAAATACCCAAAGTTCTAGCTAAACCTCCCCCTTTGTGGTTATGGCAAAGTCCCGGTTTAAATTTTGGTGAAATTGATAGTCTCCTTTTGTCTACTAACGCCGTAGGCTTCAGTAAGTCTGATCGACTTCATGTCGTTAAAAGAATTCGGATTATTGTCAGATGCGCGTTTCATTTCTTCATTGATGAGCACTATGCAAACTCTCGACATGTTCAAGATTTCTCGGAAAATGCGATAAGCTGTCGTTTTAATGCAACCACCTATCATTGCCATCACCACTACCTGGATTGCCAGTTACTTAAATTTTTAATGGCATCCGTTACTGATTTAATGAACCGATCGTCAACTTTCTAAGGTTGTTCGGCATTTTCAAGCTGCTCTGTCATTCATTCGCCGAAGAATCCCTTTACAATTGAAACACATGAGACAGTTTCAAAACAGTTTGTTCTGATCAGTAGCCTATATATGTTAAAGAATTTGAGTAAGAGTCATTTTAAATGTATACAATATTCAATGACGTTACGATGCACATCATTTGAATCTGTTGTCGCCGTGTTTTTTACATTTTCAGAATAGCACCTAAGGTTTGTCTTATGGAATATGTCAAAATCAAATGACGTATGTCAATATTGAAGTTATTTGCTTAATAAAATCATGTAAGGAATTAAGGGCATCTAATTTAAAACATTATCACAAAGCTCAATAATTTTTTGTCGTGCGCTTGGTTAGTTGACCTGTAAATGTAAATACCTTTAAATGTGTTATTTTTAATAATGACCTTAATTTTAGAAAGGTTAATTCATTATTGCAACTTTTATTAAGAAATGACATTGGTTGAAGAAAAACTTATATTTACTCTAAAAAAACTATTCTGGACAATCCTCGTATGTTATACTGAAAGTACTGAAACAAAGATCAAAAGAT